AGATCCGTGCCACTGCACTCCAACCTGGGCAACAGAGGAGAGACTCTGTCTCACAAAAAGGTATTATCAGTAAGTGTTTTTTAAGCTTTTTCTTTCTCTTACATCTGCCATCCCTCCCCAAATTGGGCATTTAATTCATCTTCAATCTGGTTATTCCCTGAGTCCCTGACTTAGTAAGTGCTTTTCTTTATTTTTTTCCTGACACGGAGTCTTGCTTTGTTCCCCAAACTGGTGCACGGTGGCAGGATCTTGGCTCACTGCAACCTCCACCTCCCAGGTTTAAGCAATTCTGCTGCCTCAACCACCGGAGTAGCTGGGATTACAGGTCTAAGCCACCATGCCTGGCTCATTTTAGTATTTTTAGTAGAGATGGAGTTTTGCCATGTTGGCCAGGTTGGTCTCTAACTGCTGACTTCAAGTGAACTGCCTGCCTTGGCCTCCCAAAGTGCTGGGATTATAGTTGTGAGACACCCTGCCTTGCCTTCCCTTGCCTTGCCTTGCCCTCCCTTGCCTTGCCTTGCCCTCCCTTGCCTTGCCCTCCCTTGCCCTGCCCTCCCCTCCTCTCCCCTCCCCTCCCCTTCCTTTTCCATTCTTGTCACCTAGGCAGGAGCGTAATGCCGTGATCTTGGCTCACCGCAACCTCTGCCTCCCTGGTTCAAGCAATTCTCCTGCCTCAGCCCCTGAGTAGCTGGGATTATAGGCACTGCCACCATGCCCAGCTAACTTTTGTCTTGTTAGTAGATAGGAGGTTTCTCCATGTTGGCCAGGGTGGTCTCCAACTCCTGACCTCAGGTGATCCACTCACCTCGGCCTCTCAAAGTGCTGGGATTACAGGTGTGAGCCACTGTGACAGGCCTGGCATTTGCTTTTCTTGTAGAGCTCCTTCTTACTGAGCAATATGCCTCCTTATATTATAAAATCTTTCTGATAATGCATTAGAATTTTTTTTTGTAGTTTAGTAAAAGTGTTTTCCCTGTTACTTTATTCAAAGCTAATAAGTACTTTTCCTGAATTTTGTAGTAACTAGGTATAAAAATCATGTGTTGCGCCCAGCACTGTGGCTCATGCCTATAATCCCAATATTTTGGAAGGCTGAGGTAGGCAAATCACCTGAGTTCAAGAGGTTGAGACCAGCCTGACCAACATGGAGAAACCTCGTCTCTACTAAAAATACAAAATTACCTGGGCGCAGTAGCACATGCCTGTAATCCCAGCTTCTTAGGAGGCTGAGGCAGGAGAATCACTTGAACTGGGGCACGGAGGTTGTGGTGAGCCAAGATTGCACCACTGTACTCCAGTCTGGGCACCAAGAACAAAACTTCGTCTCAAAACAAAACAAGTCTGGGCACTGTGACTCACACCTGTAATCCCAGCACTTTGGGAGGCCGAGATGGGTGGATCACGAGGTCAGGAGTTCAAGATCAGCCTAGCCAAGATGGTGAAAAAAGCCAGGCATGGTGGTGTGTGTCTGTAGTTCCAGCTACTCAGGAGGCTGAGCCAGAAGAATTGCTTGAACCCGGGAGGCAGAGGTTGTAGTGAGCTGAGATTATGCCACTGCACTCCAGCTCAAGTGACAGAGTGAGACTTCATCTCAAAAAAAAATACAGCAAAAGCTACACAAGAAATTAATGAGAATGGTTATCTCCTTGTAAATCTTTCTACATTAGTTTGATTTTTGATTCATATGAGTGCATTTCTGAGTCAAAAACCAAACAAAAATGTAACATTTAAAAGTATAAATGTGGGCTGGGCATGGAGGCTCTCACCTGTAGTCCAAGCACTTTGGGAGGCCGAGGCAGGTGGATCACTTGAAGCTAGGAGCTCAAGACCAGCCTGGGTCTCTACTAAAAATGCAAAAATTAGCTGGGCACCTGTAATCCTAGCTACTCAGAAGGCTAAGGCAGGATAATTGCTTGAACCTGGGAGGTGGAGGTTGCAGTGAGCTGAGATCGAACCACTGCGCTCTAGCCTGGGCGACAGAGTAAGACTCCATCTCAAACAAACAAACAGACAAAAACAAAACAAAACGAAAAAACCAAAAACATGTGTTGTAGCTTTACAGTTTTTAAAATATTTTAGATACTCTTAGTAAACTATGAACCTTCTTAACCACTGTTGCTGGATTACTGACACTGTCACTTGACTAATACTGACTCTCTTTACCTCACTCACGTGGATACACACCTTCTGTATTTGTGTTGCCTAACCATGTCCCTTTGGGTCTGTGAGATTCTGTAAACCATGCTAGTCTTCATGATTTTCTGTACTATATATATAAAAACTCTCTCTCTATATATATATTTTTATATATATATATATACCTATATATAGAGAGAGTTTTATATATATATACCTATATATAGAGAGAGATTTTTTGTTTTTTTGAGATGGAGTTTCACTTTTGTTGACCAGTCTGAAGTGCAATGGTGCAACCTTGCCTCACTGCAACTTTGCTTCCTGGGTTCAAGTGATTCTCCTGCCTCAGCCTCCTGAGTAGCTGGGATTACAGGTATGCACCACCATGCCCAGCTAATTTTGTATTTTTAGTAGAGATGGGGTTTCTCCATGTTGGTCAGGCTGGTTTCAAACTCCTGACTTCAAGTGATCCACCCACCTCTGCCTCCCAAACTGGTTTCAAACTCCTGACCTCAAGTGATCCACCCACTACTGCCTCCCAGTATAGGCATGAGCCACTGTGCTTGGCCACTACACACACACACACATACATTTACATATGTATATATTTATTTTTATTTATTTAAAAAATTTTTTCTTTTTAAAGACGGGGTTTTGCCGTGTTGGATAGGCTGGTTTCGAACTCCTGATCTCAGGTGATCCAACTGCCTTGTCCTCCCAAAGTGCTGAGATTATAGGTGTGAGCCACTGTGCCTGGCCAATATATATATATATTTTTAATTGAGACAGGGTCTCACTCTATTGCCCAGGCTGAAGTGCAATGGTGCAATCTTGGCTTACTGCAATCTCTGCCTCCTGGGCTCAAGTAATCCTCTTACCTCAGCCTCCCAAGTAGCTGTGACTACAGGTCCACACCCAGCTAATTTTTGTATTTTTTCTGTAGAGTTGGGGTATCACCATGTTGTCTAGGCTGGTCTTGAACTCCTAAACTCAAGCAATTCACCCATTTTGGCCACAGTGCTGGGATTAATAGGTGGGAGCCGCCATGACTGGCCTGTTCTATACAACTTAAATCACTTTTAAGAATACAACACTGGAGCTTTCAACCACTAGAACAATTTTTTTTTTTTTTTTTAGACAGAGTCTTTCTCTTTCACCCAGGTTAAAGTGCAGTGGTGTGATCTTGGCAACCTCTGCTTCTCGGGCTCATGCGATTCTCCTACCTCAGCCTCCCGCATGGCTGGGATTACAGGCTTGTGCCACCACACCCGGCTAATTTTTTGTATCTTTAGCAGAGACAAGGTTTCACCATGTTGGCCAGGCTGCTCTCAAGCTCCTAACCTCAAGCAATCCATTAGCCTCTGCCTCCCAAAGTGCTGAGATTACAAGCATGAGTCACCACACCTGACCATCAACAAAAGTTTTTAAATGGACAGTTGCAGAATTGTGGAGTGTTTTTATATTAATCTTTTGGTAATGCAATTAGTAGTATGTTTTGCATGTATGACTTAATAAATCCTTGAATAATTTAAAAAAAGAATAAAGTCTTTGCCTTTAAATAACTCAAAATCTAATTGTTTAAACATAAGCAAAATATAAAGCACAATGAGGTAAGTACCATAAAAGGCTATGTAGGAAGCAGATGAAAGAAGTCCTGAATAAAATTTGATGGAAATCCAAATAAGAGTTAAATGTTCTTCTCATTTTCTTTTTCTTCTTTTTTGAGACAGGGTCGTGCTCTGTGACCTAGACTGAAATACAGTGGTGGGATCATAGTTTATGTCTCAACCTCCTTGGGCTCATACGATTCTCTAATCTTAGCCTCTGAGTGGCTGGGACTAAAGGTATGTACACACTCAGCTAAGTTTTAATTTTTTTGTAGAAATGAGGTCTTACTATATTGCCCAGGCTGTCTTCTCATTCTTTTAATTTACCCCTCTCTAGACAGAACACATTACTGCAAATTTCTATCATAATCATGTTTCAAGTCATCTTCTTTAGAATCATCAATTTCACATCAAAAGTCAGCGTACTGCAATATCTTCAATTAACTTTACACTTCCTGTTTCTTATTTTCTTTAAAAAAATAATCGGCCGGGCACGGTGGCTCAAGCCTGTAATCCCAGCACTTTGGGAGGCCGAGGCAGGTGGATCACAAGGTCAACAGATCAAGACCTTCCTGGTCAACATGGTGAAACCCCGTCTGTACTAAAAATACAAAAAAATTACAGCTAATTTTTTTGTATTTTTAGTACAGACGGGGTACTAAAGTACAAGAGCGAAACTCCATCTAAAGAAAAAAAAAATTAATCATTTAAAAAATTGCAGATGGGGATCTCGCTGTGTTGGTGAGGTTGGTTGTGAACTTCTGGCCTTGGCCTCCCAAAGTGCTGGGATTACAGGCACAAACCATCGCACTCAGCTGTCCTCTCTTTTTTTCTCTGAGATGGAGTCTCATTCTGTCACCCAGGCTGGAGTGCAGTGGCTCAATCTCAGCTCACTGCAACCTCTGTCTCCTGGGTTCAAGCAATTCTCCTGCCTCAGCCTCCCGAGTAGCTGGGATTACAGGTGCACACCACCATGCCCAGCTAATTTTTTGTATTTTTAGTAGAAATGGGGTTTCACCATGTTAGCTAGGCTGGTCTCAAACTCCTGACCTCAAGCGATCCACCCGCCTCGGCCTCCCAAAGCTCTGGGATTATAGGCGTGAGCCACTGTGCCCATCCGTCTTTCTTTTTTTTTTGAGACAGGATCTTGCTCTGTCATCACAGCTCACTGCAGCTTCTACCTCCTAGGCTCAAGCAATCTTCCTGCCTCAGCCTCCAAGTAGCTGGAACTACAGGCATGCATACCACAGCCTGCTATCAATTAGTAAATTTTATTTTATTTTATTTTATTTTTTTTAAAAAAGACATTTATTCAGCGTCATGATCAGACTATTACATTTAGCAATCAACAGCATGGGTGCAAAAAAAAAAAAAAGAAAAAGAAAAAATCTACATTAAAACCCTTTGTTGGAATGCTTTACACTTTCCACAGAACAGAAACTAAAATAACCTGTTATACAATTAGTCACAAATACAGTCCTCGAGTTTTTTGCCCATACACATGAGTATTTGTCTAAATCATGTCTTCTTTGTAGCAGCTAGGCCCTGCCACCACTGTGCTTGGCTGAGTTCACAAATCTGTTGTAACCTGTAGCTTCCCTGTCACTTCTCTGGCTCTCCTCTCCTGCTAAGCTTTGTTTCCTAATTAAAATCTTCTGCCACTGCCATAGCTACTGCTGCTACTGGAACCGCCATAGCCACCTTGGTTTCGTGGTTTGGCAAAGTATTGGCCGCCACCACCATAGGGGCCAGAGCTTCTGCCTCCAAAGTTTCCTCCCTTCATGAGTCCAAAATTTGAAGACTGATTGTTGTAACTGCCAAAATCACTGTAGCTTCCACCACCTCCAAAATTGCCTCCATCATTACCAAATCCATTATAGCCATCCCCACTGCCACCATAACCACCACCACCACGGCTGCCACCAAAGCCACCATGACCACTGAAATTTCCTCCACGACCAAAGTTGTCATTCCCACCGAAACCACCTCCACGACCACCACCAAAGTTTCCAGAACCACTTCGACCTCTTTGGCTGGATGAAGCACTAGCCATCTCTTGCTTTGACAGGGCTTTCCTAACTTCACAGTTGTGGCCATTCACAGTATGGTATTTCTGAATGACAATCTTATCCACGGAGTCATGGTCGTCAAAGGTTACAAAGGCAAAGTCCCTTTTCTTGCCACTGCCTCTGTCCGTCATGATTTCAATCACTTCAATTTTTCCATACTGTTCAAAATAATCTCTTAGGTGATGTTCTTCAGTGTCTTCTTTAATGCCACCAACGAATATTTTTTTCACAGTTAAGTGGGCATCTGGTCTTTGAGAATCTTCTCTTGAGACAGCTCTCTTTGGTTCCACAACTCTTCCATCTACGTTGTGTGGCCTTGCATTCACCGCTGCATCCACCTCCTCCACAGTTGCATACGTGACGAACCCAAAGCCCCTGGAGCGCTTGGTGTTTGGATCTCTCATGACCACACAGTCTGTGAGTGTTCCCCATTGCTCAAAATGGCTCCTGAGGCTCTCATCGGTTGTTTCAAAGCTCAACCCTCCAATGAAGAGCTTCCTCGGCTGTTCCGGCTCTTTAGGAGACTCTGACTTAGACATGATCGCAGGGAGAAGAGAGACTTTAACGATGCTGCTTCGGTGGCGTCCACGGGCAGAAAGGCCAATTAGTAAATTTTAAATGCAAAAACTTCAATGAAGCTTTTTGATAAATCGCATCAATAACTTTTACCTAGATTGAAGGAAACCTGGATGATAGCTAAGTATTCTGTGCTGTTCCCTTCAGTATACATTTTTATGTCTTTTTTTTTTTTTGCTTTAGAAGTATCAGTATCTATATTAACATCAAATTTTGACTATGAACCAGCCCAACTTAATACATGTTCTGCACCTACAATGTATTAAGCATCTTGTGAAGTTTAAAGATATCTAAGACATGGTCCCTGCCCTGAAGGAGCTCTTCTAAATTACTACTTTACTAAAACTGTCAGTACTTAGAAAATGTAAATTAAGGACCAGGCGCGTGGCTGGGCGCGGTGGCTCACACCGTAATCCCAACACTCTGGGAGGCTGAGGCAGGTGGATCACGAGGTCAGGAGTTCAAGACCAACCTGACCAGCATGGTGAACCCCATCTCTACTAAAAATATAAAAATTAGCTGGGTGTGGTGGCTCACACCTGTGATCCCAGCTACTCAGCAGGCTGAGGCAGGAGAATCACTTGAACCCAGGAGGCAGAGGTTGCAGTGAGTGGAGATCATGCCACTGCACTCTAGCCTGGACAACAGAGCAAGATTCGTTCTAAAAAAAAAAAAAAAAAGTAAATTAGCAGCTCTCAGTTACTTCATGGAGTTTGGAATTATTTAGTGAGAGTCTACTATGTATTGGGAAATGTAGGAATATATGATAACATGACAATACACATAACTATTCTAAAAATTTCCCATTCTCTAGTTGTATGTACTCCCTTTTATTTCCCACTATTGAAAAGCATTTAATCTTAATTTGAGTTAATATATCTACTAGTCAATTTATATATCCCGCACATATGCATACACGTTTGCATCAGCATTACATGAAAAAATATTCAAAGTTCCATGACAGCTGTCACCAATCACAATACTATTTATCCAGTATACACTGCAAAACTTTAAAAATGGACTTACATGTCTAGCTCCTAACCAAATTTTATTCATGGTTTTTTAGAGTAGCAATATGAAGTTGTAGTCTACTTAAAAAATGCCAGCTGGAAGTAAAAAAATCTCAGTGTTAGGCAGGGCACAGTGACTCACGCCTGTAATCCCAGCACTTTGGGAGGCCGAGATGGGTGGATCCTGAGGTCAGCAGTTTGAGACCAGCCTGACCAACATGGTGAAACCCTGTCTCTACTAAAAATACAAAAATTAGCTGGGTGTGGTGGCAGGTGCCTGTAATCCCAGCTACTGGGGCAGCTGAGGCAGGAGAATCGCTTGAACCCGGCAGGCGGAGGTTGCAGTGAGCTGAGACAGCTCCATTGCACTCCAGCCTGGGCGACAGAGTGAGACTGTCTCAAAACAAAACAAAACACAAAAAACCTTCAATGTTATATTTCTGTATATGTCATTATGATTTTTAATTGCAATGGCTCGTATTCCACCATATTGTTATGCCATAATTTACTCCAATGTTTTCACATTTTCATATTACAAAGTGCAACTGCAAATAGAATTGTGTCAAAGGAAGGAAGTTTGCATGCTATTTATGCTTACATAAAAATGAATTTATTGGAATTCTTAAAAATCTAAGTAAATAGATGTTCTTTGCTATTTTCCCACCGTGTAGGAGGCAAATTATCCTATGTACGTTTTCCATACTATCAACAGAACCACGGTTTGGAAAGCCAGCTGCATACGCTAACCTAATACAAATGTAAGGCTGCATTAACATCGCATATTCACAGATTTAAGGGCTTGAATAAAAGCTAATTAGGAAACCCCAAAACTGCTTCTCTCCCCATTTTTGGCTTAACAGTAAAACACCGACATTCTTTCAGAGCCTGTCAGATTGTGCTTGTAATTTTCTAGTAAGAATTACTTAGTGAGGAAGTTCAGTTGGTAGAGGAAAAGCTTCAGCAGATGCTTTGAGGCAGCATCGAGGTTTGATGGGGCCGAGCCCCTTCCAACTGGACTGGTCATTCGGTCTGCAGCTGGGGTGGCGCTCTTCGTGGTTGGGCAGGATGAAGAAAGAATGTCGCTCGTAGCTTCCAAGGCCAGACCTTTGCCAGGACTCACGAGGACGGCAGAGACCCCCAGGGACCGACTCAGGACGTGTCTGCACGCCTCGCAACCTCTTGTCTGCCGGGAGGTTCTGCGCAGGCGCGGCAGTCGTGCGACAGCCGTCATTTACGGCCGGAGCTGTTCGCGCTGGGAGTTGGTGGCGCGGTGCAGGGCTCTTAAGAACGAACGGCTTGGGCGAGGGTAATCAGCTCCCTTTCCCCCCCTTTTTCAGTTATTATAGGTACTTGGGACTGTCGCAGAGTTTCCAGACCCGATGCAGGCGCCCAGTCATGGACTGTACCACTCTGCTGCTCCATTGCTCGGGGTGCTCCCGCGCCCAGGTTGGGGTGAGGGGCGGGGTCGGGGGCTGGGCTGCACTCCATCCTAGCGTCTTCGTGGTGAAATCTCTCAGGTAACTCCCGGCTCTTCTTGTTTTCCAAGACTGGTATCCGGGGACTGTGACTTGCAGGGTCCGCCATGGAGCCAGAGCAGATGCTGGAGGGACAAACGCAGGTATCAGGAGGCCCTGGATTCAGGGTTGGCGGTGTGCAGGGAGGCAGCGAGAAAGGGGGGCTTTTATCTCTGTGACTGGTGTTTTGTTTTCTAGGTTGCAGAAAATCCTCACTCTGAGTACGGTCTCACAGACAATGTTGAGGTAACTCGCCCAGTTCCTATGCCTCATCTGCGTGTCTCTTGTGAGCTGGAGAAAACTTGGGATCCGCTTTTACTGGGTTGCTTTGCACAAGGGAAAACTTCGTTATCTTGAACTGAATAGTATCAAGTTATGAGAAGCTTGTTTTAGTAGCGGTACTAATGCTGCGCGGTGTACGGAGGTACAAATTAGGTTTGAGCCAAAGGATTAAACTTTTATTATGAAACAGACGTTCTTGATGGTTACTGTCTGAATCGTATTGCTTGGTGGCTTTTTTTTTTTTTTTGAGATGGAGTCTCTGTCACCAGGCTGGAGTGCAGTGGCGTGATCTCGGCTCACTGCAACCTCCGCCTCCCAGGTTCAGGCCATTCTTCTGCCTCAGCCTCTTGAGTAGCTGGGATTACAGGCACGCACCACCATGCCCAGCTAATTTTTTGTATTTTTAGTAGAGACGGGGATTCCCTATGTTGGCCAGGCTGGTTGCAAAGTCCTGACCTCGTGATCAGTCCGCCTTGGCCTCCCAAAGTTCTGCTATTACAGATGTGAGCCACCGTGCCCAAACTATTATAAATGTTTTGTTGTTGTTGTTGTTGTTGTTTTCTGAGACAGAGTCTCTCTTTGTCGCCCAGGCTGGAGTGCAGTGGCCCGATCTCGGCTCACTGCAACCTGTTTCCCCGTTCAAGCGATTTTTCTGCCTCAGCCTCCCTAGTACCTGGGACTACAGATGCCTGCCACCACGCCCGGCTAATTTTTGTATTTTTAGTAGAGATGGGGTTTTACCTCATTGGTCAGGCTGGTCTTGAGCTCCTGACCTCCTGATCTGTCCGCCTCGGCCTTCTAAAGTACTGGGTTTACAGGCGTGAGCCACCACGCCTGGCCCTATTATAAATGTTTTCATGACCCTGCCCATTTTATCATTTGTATAATTTCTGGGTCTATTTCTGTGGATTCCTTTTTGTCTTCATTGTAGATATTTTTTTTCCTGCTTATTTGCCTGCTTGGTAATTTCTGTTTGTATGCTGAGCGTTGTGAATTTTACTTTGTAGAGTATTGGACAATTTTGTATTTTTTGTTTTGTTTTGAGACAGTTTCGCTCTTGTCGCCCAGGGCGGAGTGCAGTGGCACAATTTTGGCTCACTGCAACCACTGTGTCCCGGGTTCAAGCGATTCTCCTGCCTCAACCTGCCAAATAGCAGTGATTACAGGTGCCCGCCACCATGCCTGGCTAATTTTTGTATTTTTAGTAGAGACGGGGTTTCACCATGTTGGCCAGGCTGGTCTTGAACTCCTGACCTCAGGTAATCCACCCACTTTGGCCTCTCAAAGTGCTGGGATTACAGGCTTGAGCCACCACGCCGGGCAATTTTTTTTTTTTTTTTTTTTTGAGACAGAGTTTCGCTCTTATTACCCAGGCTGGAGTGCAATGGTGCGATCTCGGCTCACTGCAACCTCTGCCTCCTGGGTTCAGGCAATTCTCCTGCCTCAGTCTCCTGAGTAGCTGGGATTACAGGCATGTGCCACCAGGCCCAGCTAATTGTTTGTATTTTTAGTAGAGATGGGGTTTCACCCTGTTGACCAGGATGGTCTCGATCTCTTGACCTCGTGATCCACCCGCCTCGGCCTCCCAAAGTGCTGGGATTACAGGCGTGAGCCACCGCACCCGGGGACATCCCACCTTTAAAAAACAAAACAAAACTTTTTTTTTTTTTTTTTTTTTGAGACGGAGTTGCGCTCTTGTTACCCAGGCTGAAGTGCAATGGTGCGATCTCGGCTCACTGCAACCTCTGCCTCCTGGGTTCAGGCAATTCTGCCTCAGCCTCCTGAGTAGCAGGGATTACAGGCATGCGCTACTATACCCAGCTAATTGTTTGTATTTTTGGTAGGGACGGGGTTTCACCATGTTGACCAGTATGGTCTCGATCTGTTGACCTCGGCCTCCCAAAGTGCTGGGATTCCAGGCATGAGCCACCGCGCCTGGCCCACAAAAACATTTTTTAATTTGTTCTGGGACACAGTTACTTAGAAACAGTTTGATACTTTTGAGGCTTGCTTTTAAGCTTTGTTAGGTGAGACCAGACCAGCCTTACTTTAGGCTTAATTTCCTTTTATTGTGTATTCTACTCAATACTCCATGTATTATGAGATTTTTTTTTTTTTTTGAGACAAAAGTTTTGCTCTTTCGCTCAGGCTGGAGTGTAGAGTGGTGTGATCTAGGTTCACTGCAACCTCCGCATCAGCCAATATGCTGGTGTATTATGAGATTTTATCACCCTGCCTCACTGGAACACAAACCATTTCCAGCCTATGTGAGCTGCAAAGATTGTTCCTTGTGGTGTAATATAGTTTGGATATTTGTCCCTTCCAAATCTCATGTTGAAATGTGACCTCCCAATGTTGGAGGTGGGAGCTAGTGGGAGGTGTTTGTGTCGTGGGGGTAATCCCTAATGAATGGCATGGTACCATCTTTTGGTAATGAGTGAGTTCTTACTCTGTTAGTTACCATGAGATCTGATTGTTAAAAAGAGTCTGGCACCTACTCCTTTCACTCTTGCTCCCTCTTTTATTATGTGACACAGTCCCTCTCTGTCAGGATTGGCGGCTCCCTGAAGCACTCATCAGTAGCAAATGCTGGTGCCCTGCTTGTGTAGCTTGCAGAGTTGTGGCCAAATAAATCTCTTTTCTTTATAAATTACCCACCCTCAGGTATTTCTTTATAGCAATGCAAATATACTAATACAAGACTGGTTGTTTTCCTGGCCTTGGGTAGTTGACTTACATTCATCTATTGATAAGTACTCAACTGAAGACTGGAAGGCAATATTCTTAGTCTCTTCCTGTGCAATTCTTGGCCCCATGCACTTTTTTCCCTTCAGTGCTCTGCCTTGCAAATTTTAGTTATTTTGGTCTCCCAGAATTTTCAACTCTGTTTTCTCAACTCAGGGAGACCTCTAGGGTCTGTTCAAGTTCTCTCTCCCTACACTGCATCCTGTAAATTCTCCAGGCAGAAAGCGATAAGCAGGGATAGTCGTAATGCTCACCTCATTTTTCCCCTTTTTGTGATCACTGTTCTACACTGTCTTATGAGCTCATTTTTTGTTGTGGTAGTTTGGATATTGCTATTTTTAGATTAGTTCAAGATTTTGACTTAAGTGAAATTGAGCATCACAGTTGGCACATAATGGATAATTAGTAAATGTTCAGATGAAATAAATGGGAAGATTTGGTTAAGGAATTTATTACAGGATTTATAGGAGTTGTTTAGGTATTGCTCTTTCTTATTGGAGGCATTGTAATGTCATGTAACTGACAAGTTAAATTTTCTTAAAATTATTAAAAAAAAAAATAGTAACAGGGTCTCACTATGTTGCTCAAGCTGGTTTCAAACTCCTGTGCTCAAGCAGTCCTCCTGCCTCAGCTTCCCAAAGTACTGAGATTACAGATTTGAGCCACTGCAGCTGGCCCTGAATAGTTTTTGTTGTATATGTATGCTGTGCCTGGAAGTTAGGACTATTTTTAGGAAATACACTGTGAGATTTTGAAGTTTGCTGCATTGTCTTTGTTGTGATCAGTGTGAAGTTTTGAACATCGTGGATTTTGATTTAGGGGAGGAGAATTCATTTAAAATGATAATGTCAGTTTTCAGAAACAATGAAGTTGTATAGTCTTTTCTGCAATGAAAAGCTGAATTTTACAAAGGCTCTGTAAGAGTTTCTGAAGTGATGGTGTGCCAAAGGTATTATCTGTTAAAATTTATTAACAAAAAATAATTTTTTCAGTCCATGGACAAATAAATAGTATTTTATAGATTAAACTTTGTATTTAATAGAAAATTATCTTTTAATTAAATTCTAAAATTAGATTGCAAAACTATCAGCAGAAGTACAAAAGTTGTCTGACATAGTTATGGGAAGTGTCTTTGGAAACCATGCTATTTATGTTACAGATGTGATTAAAGATTTTTTTCTTTTACCAAAATACAATTAAAAGTAGAAAAATTTTTCTTTGTCAACTCTTTTATATCTAGTTTGAGTATGTTGAAGCAAACGTTCATTTAAATGAAAGTGCTCTTAGGAATACTGTTTTGTCCTTTTAGAGTCACTTACTATTTTTTTTTTTTTTTTTTTTGAGACATAGTCTTGCTCTGTCAC